CCCCTTTTTTGGAGACAAGGTCTTGCTGAGTTGTCTGGGGTGTACTTGAATATGTGATCTTTTTACCTCAGCTTTCCTTCTCCCTCTCTGGGGATTGAACCCTTAGCCCTTATACATGATAGGCAAGTGCTTTACCACTGAGCCACTTCCCAGAACCATAAAAAGTTTTTAAATAAAAGCTTTGCATTGTAAAAAACAATACAAAGCCACTGACAATGTCAGAAGACAAATGACAACAGAAAGAAAATATTTTAACTTATCCCTTATATGTGAAGGAAAATTAATAGAACATAAACTCAGAAGATCAGTGGACATTGATCACATGATGTAAACATTTATTTCACTTAAAAATAAACAAGCAGCTGGGTGTGGTGACACATGCCTATAAGCCTAACTACTTGGGAAGTTGGGGGAGGAAGATTGCAAATTTGAGATCAGCCTGGGGAACTTAGTGAGATCCTGTCTCAAATTAAAATTAGAGAGAGAAAAAAAGCACTGATGTGTAGCTCAGTGGTCGAGCGGGTGATAACATGTGCAAAGCCTTGGGTTCAGTCCTTGTACCCCCCCCCCCAAGAAGACTGCTTAAGTTACTGTTTTAGGCTAAATTTTGGCACTTTTTTTCTGTTTTATGGACTATTTTATGAGTATCCCCTGGGTTCAGTCTTCAGTACCATTAGAAAAAAGTAACACAAACACTCAAAACAGTGGTCCTTAGATCCTCTATATAGACATTTAATCTCATCTATTTGATAAAAGAAAGGCAAATTAAAACTACATTGAGATACACCATTTCTTAGCTATTGAGTTGGCAATAATCAGAAAGCTGAACAGCATACTCTGAGCATGAGGCTATAAGGTAACGGGCATACCTACACCTTGGCAGTGATGTAGTACAGTAAAAATGGAGAATTTTTCAAGATATAGAAAATTTGACTTAGGACTTAAAGAATTTGCTCTGAAGCTATACTCTCATCAGTATTAAAATATGTTTGCAAAAGGTATATATTTATTAAGACAGGGACTCACTATGTAGTTCAGGCTGGCCTGGAACTCACTGTGTAGCCCCGGGTGGCCTCGTACTGGCAAAGATCCTCCTGCCTCAGCCGCCCTAGTGCTGGGATTACAGGCATGTACCATCACATCCAGTACCAGAGTGCTATTCATTGCAACATTACTTGTTAGTATAAAATACTGGGAATGCCTAAATGCCCAGACATAGGTTAGTAGTTCAATAAACTGTGATATATCATGGAGTCCTATATAGCTGTAAAAGGGAATGAAGAAACTCTTAACAGCTAATATAGAATATTTCCAGGATATACTATTGGGTGAAGAAGACATGTACGTGTGCGTGTGTGTGTGTGTGTGTGTAATTTTTACTTTTTGTTTATGAAAAAATGGGGAAATGAAAAAATACATCTGTCTCCTTATTTTTTGCAAAAAGAAATACAGGAAGGATAAGCCAATACTTAAGGAGAGTGGTTACCTCTAGAAATGATTGCTGAGAGCAGTGGTAAACTTTGCTTACCTTTAGGTATTAACTTTCAGAACCGTGTTAATGTTTAATCAGCTAGGGTAGAAGGATCATAAATTGTATTCAAATGAATAACATATCCCCACCAAAGCAGGGAAGGGCTGAGAATTTATCTGTATAGCTTTTACAGTGGTGTGAGATAGCAGGGTTTTTGTTTGTTTTTTAAAGCAATATTGAAAACTAAACCCAGGGGTTTACACTTGCTAGGCAAGTGCTCTGCCTATGTGCTATGTCCCTTGTTCTGACATAACAGTGTTTTTTGTTTGTTTGTTTTTTGAGACAGGGTCTTTCTATGTAGTTCAGGCTGGCCTTGGACTCACTAGATAACCAGGCCAGTGGGAGTGAACCTTGTTAGAGCTTTCAGTGATGATACGGACAGCCCAATGTGGCACATGTGCCATAGGCTCGCCACCACTGGCCTAGGCTGACCCTCCTGTCTTAGCCTCCTGGTGCTGGGATTACAGGCATGCACCACTGCACCTGGCACTTTGAAATAACTTTCTGTGTGCTATAGTATTAAGTCAGTGAGTAAAATAAAATACTGAAAATATTGTGAACCAGATTTCTTGCTGTTAGGAAAAAACATTACAAATGGAAAAGGGGAAAATTAGAATGAATTCTGTGGTGTGGAATTGAAATGATGGCAGTAGTGTGAACTCACTGTTTTCGATATAGATAGAAATTGATGTAGATATGTGGGTAAATGTTTGTTTATATTTATATCATTGCTCCTTTATCTTCTGAAAGGGATTAAAAGAAAAATCCCCCGATCGTAATAAATACCTCTCATTTCAAGATGTTGTTTATTAAATACCATTTATTCTCTAATAAAAGGATCCAGAACTCCTGGAAGAGCAGTATAATTCTGAGGCTAGAGGAGGAAAAGAACCAGAGAGGCCTCTGGCACATCTTGTGCCAGAAAATAAGTTACCCAGAGTGATAGGGCTGTCTCTAGAGGACATAAGAACCAATTGAAGGGATTCCTTGTTAGCCAAATCTGAGCTAAGAGCATCAAAATAAATTATTGTAACAGAACAGTCATAGAATAAAATTATAGTGAGACCATATTGATATAAATTTAAAAAACGGGAAAAAGAAAGCTTTTTCTTAGAATACCTTAGAATTTCTTAGAATAGTCATAAAATCATCTTATTATAACCATTATGTAACATTTACATAGTTCTAAAAGTATCTCCATATAAATAATTTATAAATTACTTATTAATTCAAAAGGAATAATAGTAACTTTATCATGAATTAATTTATCAGGCACAATTTTAAGTAATCAAAGTTATTATTCCTACTAATAGGGCAGATGCTTCCTGAATCATGTTTTGAGAAAGACACATTTTCATAGCTCTGCCAAAATGTATAACCAAAATCAGTTATAAGGGAAATATAAAAAAATAAATTAAGGAATATTTTACAAAATAATTATTGTGTACAAAAATGTCAATGTAATAAAAAACAGAAAAGCTAAGACATTATTCAGGATTACAGGAGGATAAAGAGATAGGACAGCTAAACACAATGTGTAATCTTGTTCCTGGATCAGGAGAAAAGGAGGGGAAACTAGGATATTATTGGAACAGTTGGCTAAATTGGAATATGGATTGTGGATTCGATAATTAGCATCTTAGTTACTTTTTTGTTGCCCAGACAAAATACCTGACTCCCAGAGTTAAAGGAAGAAAGGTTTATTTAGCTGACAGTTTGTAGAGGTTTCAGTCTATAATCAGCTGGGTCCAAGTCAGGGTGGCATCCCAGACGAAAAACAGTTTATGGCAGGCAGAAGGCAACAAAAGCGGCAAGTGACCAGCGCCAACTATAGCAGCTTCTTTCTGCCCTTTTTTTATATTCTATCTAGGCCACCGGGCTTAGGGCAGGTACCAGACCAGTGGACTAATTTAATAATCACACACCCTTAATCCCAGCATCACACATTCTAGATCCAGCCACCTCTGAAAAAGCCTTACCTATGACTGCATGAGGCTTTAGGGGGGACATCTAGACACAAGCCATAACAATCGTTGTTGGATTTCTGTATTTTGATATATGTACTGTGGTTATGTTAGAGAAAAATTGTTGTATCCTTGTTCTACTGAAATGCGTATGGAAATATTTCCAGAATAAAAAGTACATATACTTTGATCTTACCGGTTGTTGGAATTAATCCTAAGGAATTGTCTATGCTAAGGTGAAAATACTGAATTTTGTTATGCATGGTAGAAAAAATTTAGAAGCAACCTAATATCTGATATTAAAGGGTTGTTGAGATTATGGTACATTATATGGAGTCCTTTAAAATGATGTTGTATGTCTATATTTACAAAATAACATGTTTCTAGTTGTATTAGTGAAGGTTTTTTGGTTACAAGAAAGATGCCAGTTTAGGCCACTTTAAATAATTAGGGTAGGTCGCCAGAGTAAATAGGACAGCTGAGAATCCCTAGAAAGGGAGAGAGAACTTGGGATCTCACCATCAAGTTCTAGGAATTCCTTCTTTCTAGGGTACTGTCCTTCAAGTGGCTCAGCTCTAGTACCTACATTTTTTTGATTCAGTTTAAATTCCCTAAATAAGGATCTGGTTGGTCCACCTCTTCTAAGGGCACAGTCACATAGCACAGTAAGGCCTGAAAGGATGGAAAAGTGTTTAAAATTATACTGTCTAGTATAATTTTGTTATAATGTTTTGTAGAAATGCAGAGTGAGTTTGCAGTGAGATTAAGAATCAAAGGTTCTGAGTGGGGTGTGGTGGTGCAGGTCCATAATCCCAGCACTCAGGAGGCTGAGGCAGGAGGATCACCTCAAGTTCAGGGGCAGCCTGGCCTACATAATGAGTTCAAGGCCAGTCTGGACTACATAGTAAGACCTTGTCTCATAACACAAAACAAGAACCAAGTGTTCTGTTTGGATATGTTAATTTTGAAATTCCTATTAGACATGCAAGTAGAGAGCTGAATTCTTCTGTGGCCAAAATGGAAAACAAGTAACATCTGCCCTTATATTTTTTTAGATCAAAATCATCCCTTCTGTTCCTGTGGCAGAGAACTGAGGGGTCTCAACTAAGTTTTCTTTCAGACAGTTAAGCAAACTGTAAGCTTCTTTTTTGGAAAATAACGCATCTCCTGTGGGCACCTTCATAGCACTCACTTCACTTAGAGGCGGGAGTCCTTCCTAGCATAGATGCATGTCGGACTGCACCGCCCACCCCCATCTAGGTCAGCTCCGCATTTGGTGTGCCGGTCTCAACCAGCTGGACTTCATTTCTCTCCTGTGTGAAATTATCCTTGATTTAATCTTGTTTCTATTTTTTTGTTTTATTTATTTTTAATGGGTCTCAATCAAAAGGTAATCACCTATGTACCCCCATTACATTTTTCAGTGTTTAAGAAGGATAGTGACAAACATTTGATGATCCAGGATAAATGCAAATGCAAATGAATGCAACTGTTTGACTTTTCAGATATCCACACAGAAGCAGTTCAAGCTGCACTGGCAAAGCATAAAGAACAGAAAATGGCTTTGCCCATGCCCACCAAAAGAAGGTCCACATTCGTCCAGTCCCCTGCGGATGCCTGCACACCTCCTGGTAGGTTTGTAAGACCCTTTTCACTCTGACAGTTACTATCAGGATGTTCCTGAAATAAATTCTGCCCTTTCTGTCTGAGGTAGGAACTAGAATGCTCTGCACGTGGTTAGAGGCACACAAGAAGGTGGCAGATTTTGATTACTGGCACATGTAAACAATACACAAAAAGAAGCCTTAAAAATAAAACAAAACAAAATGAAAACCACTTTTCCTTCTGACGTCTCACCATTTCCTTTGCAGTCTCCAAACTCATGTAGTCCTAAATGAATATGGGCCAAGGCCGCTCTGACTAAATAGCATTTTCGTGGGCATCCAAAATAGGACCCAAGGTCATATATTTGATTCATTTATACTTCTAAATCTGATCCTTCACCTCTCTTGCAGGCATAGAAGTAGGTGGACTTGGGATAAAATTTTGTGTGACACTAAAGATTATGGGAGAGCACTCATGCAGATTTGTAATAGATCTGAAGATAATGTTTGTGTGAATATACTTTATATACATTTTTATATTGTTTAGAATCTACTTTTTTTACTGAGGCCCTGAGATTAGTGGGAACTAGGTATCTTTATCCCATACTCACTCACTAGACTTGGAATCTTTATTCCCCCTCACATAAATTAACATCAAAAAAGACAAAAAGTTACAACTTCACATTTGAGGAACAACAGGAACAGCCTTAAGCTGTCTCATTTATTGAGAATTTTTCCCAAAACCTTAAAAAAATTTTTTTTTACATCAAATCCCACACCAGATCTTAATATAGCCCTCTCAGAATAAATATAATAAAATCTACTTCAGATCCTCAGGATAGTGCCTGTCTCTCTACTGTCATGTTACTGCTAGTGAAATCTTTGGGGGAAATTTTTGCCAATACTTTTGTGACCAACTGTCTCTGGGAAGATTCCTATGAAGTCACTAAAGTCCTATGAAGTTACTGATTTTTATTCACAGCTGTCACATTGTTGAGCTATTTATACTGATCCCATTCATAGATTCAGACTCAGTATTAATAGCTTTTGCCTAGATTTTGGCTAACTTCTCAAAGTATTTGGGTGTGCTGTGGGCTCATTAACTGTGTGTGCTTTTTTCTTATCTGTGGTATCAATATGTTTGAAGGAGAAATAGCTCTGTGGCTTCAAGTGTTTCTCTAAATGTAACACAGGATATCTCTAACATACCATCACAATAAGACATTTTGTGTCTATAATGGTGCATACTTCAAGCCCACTCTCATTCAGAATCTTGGATGGGTTCCCTTCCACATTAGTACAGTACAAGTTGGGTCCTCGTAGACAAAGGGGGCTCTTAGTTTAGTAACCATTCCTTGTTGGCAGATTCCACTGCAGAGCAGCTGAGGGTTCATGTGCAGTAAATGGCAAAGGGTAGGGAGCAGTGGGATGGGAAGTTCTTAGAAACAGTCTTCTCTAAGGCTGTGTTAAAGCAGTGCAGTTTCACAGTAAATAGGCTTCTTTTACTGCTTTGGATTAAGTGTGAGAGTGCAGCAAAAGATCTTGAGAAAGTGGAGATGGAGTGGAAACTTTTCTAATCTCCTTTCACAGAAGTCACTGCCTGAGGGGAATTTACCAGCTCTAGAAACAAATCTCAGCTGTTCATTGCTGAATGAGACCATAGTGTTGGAATTTACTATAGGCTTCTGTGTTTCTAAACACTAATGTTCTGCTCTGTCTGAACTCCTGAAGACATAGCATTATGTTCTCTCTCTCACTGAGCTAAATTCCAGGCTCCTGTTTCCTTTCTTTGTTTCTTTCTTTCATTTTTTTTTTTTAGGCAAGATCTTGCTATTTAGTTCCGGCTGATCTTGAACTCACTATGTAGCCCAGGCTGGCCTTGAACTTGCAGCGATCCTCCTGCCTCAGCCTCTGGAGTGCTGGGGTACAGGCATGCACCACCATGCCTGGGTCATAATGTTCTTGATCACTTTACATATTTTAATAATTTCGTGAGTGCAGAGATGTAGTCCTCTCTCCTAAGATCTGTATTCTGTAGAGCAGAGTAATACCCATTTATCTTCTGTTTCGGGGATTTCTGAATAGTGTTTGAGAAACCTCAGTGTGCTCTTAGGGACATAACCTGTTGTCTACTAGAATTCTCTCCTAACAGGAGGAAATATTGAGACTACTCTTCATTATGATTTCTCACACAGCCCCCACATGGAATAGATCTTGAAGCTCTCATTCAACAATCATGCACATGCCTAAGACAAATGCTTTGCTCTGGCAAAGGAACATGGAAAGAAATACTGTGTATATATCAAAAGGCTTCTGCTAGCACCTTCCATTTTAGCAGGTAAAATGTTCTGTTCTCACATAGAATTCCAATTCCATTCTCTTTCCAAGCTTCTCAGAGCCACCAGTTCAGAGCTTTGGCTGCTGTGCTAACTTCAGCACGTACTCTGTAATTGGAATGATACAGATTACCATGGCCTCTGCATAGGATGACACACAAAGTTGTGAAGTGTTCCATATTTTTCTGACTGCCAAATAAGTTGTCCTTGTGTCCAAAAAAAAAAAATATTTTTTTTTTCCTGCTGTCCTCTTGCAGTTCAAGCCTATATTAGCCTCTCCCGTGATCTGTTAAACCTGACCCAGGGCTGTCAGATAGGTTTCCTTTTGCATATCTATTCTGATAGCCCCTGAAACAACCACATTTAAAAAAATACTGAGGCTGCTTTCAAGGAATGGGGAGTGTGGGGGGAGAGAATTGACAATATTGCTTGTTACTGGCTGTTTTTTGTTTTTGTTCTTTTTCTTTTTAAAATCAGGCCAGCTACGAAAAAATGACCTAAAAAGATATACCACTGTTGCAGGGAAAAGTTAACTTAACGTTTCACAGTATTTTAGTCATCTTCCTTTCCACACTGTTTGAGATGTCGCACCACATATCACAGAACAAAGTGCAGATCACAGCCCCTACTCTGCACATGCTGTCTTGGTGAACCTAGCCTCTGGAATGACTCCTAGAATTCATTCGCTTTCTTTGGCTTCTTTGGGAGGGACTCACCACATAACTGCTTGAATTACTGAATTGATGAAAAGGTAGAGCTTCTTTTGGAGGAACTTAGTAAAAAAGGTTTAAGGAGTAAAATGTCATAAATCTTGGCTTCATTTATTATATCCTATAGTCTGGAAAATATGGTAAATAGTTGGCATAGGAAATAATTTATCTTTTGTTCATAAGTCACTCTCAAATAATAAGATGTCAGTCAACCTAAAACTTACTTATTAATATGTACACTAATTTCTGCTGTGGATTGGAAAATTTAAGTTGTCTTAGATGGTAGCAGTCTATAGTTCTTTTTAATGCCTGTGGCCTTTTTCAGAGTCTTTATACTACTTGAATCACTGCCATCCAGTTCCCTTTATGTGTTGAAATCATTGACTAATGTCATGAGGCAATTACCTCAGCTCTTTCTTTGTAGGGGTTCTTTGTGTAGCACTATTATTCATTCATACAGAAAAACACAAAGCAAAAATAAGCATTTATTTTTTCCCCTCTGAGCTTTTTCTGCACTCTTGTGGACTTACCCTTCACTGCATTGTGAGGGTAGACAGGTGACCATATAGACTACATAATAACCCAGAAAGCACAGTAGGCTATTCAATTGGCTTCTGTAGAAAGGAGCTTAAAAGTAGATATCTGTCTCACACAGGGTCCTTCTTGACAGTGGCCATGGTAATTCTTCAGGCTAGAAGACAAAACATTTACCCCTCTATTTCTATATATGAAAATACTGTCCGTAAACAGATGGGATGTTGTTATACTTTTAACATGCTTTAACAGTGCTTTAGGGAATCTTAGTGCCTTCCAGTATGCAGAATACTTTCGCATACTGATGGCTGCCCTCCCTCACGTACCCCTTCTTAAATACTCTGTGAAGGAGTAAATTCTTTAGCGATGAGGCAAGCAGCAGGTTCATTCATAGTCTGCATGATTTGCCTCAGGAAAACTCTAATTAAATATCAGACTCAAAGTCTTCTTGGTTGTGTTTGTTACTGTACTCAGGTATCATGTGTAGCACATGTGCATCATGTGCACACCTGTAATCCCAGCACTCTGGGATGTGGAGGCAGGCGGACTGCAAGTTCAATCCTAGTCTATATAATTTAGCAACTTGGTGAGACCTTGTCTCAAAATGAAAAATAAAAAAGGTTCAATCCCTAGTACTGAAAAAAAAATCATGTATAGGAAATACTTTTTACCTGCTAGGTGCTCGTGTTGTATGATACTGGAATGGGTATTGTTCCCAACAAGTTAAATAGCCATTTCCTTCTGAGAGCTTATAACCCAAAACACATACCTTTATAAATGTGCTCTAATTAATTAATAGACATTATTTTAATAGACATTATTGTAAAAATTATTGGTATGGATTATGAACAATGATCTATAATCACTTGGGGGAACTTCTGCAGTGTGTGGTGGCACACACCTATAATCCCAGCTACTCAGGAGGTTGAGGCAGGAGGCTCACAAGCTCCTTAGTCTGGACAATTTAGCAAGACCTTGTCTCAAAAAGTAATTTTTTAAAAGAGGGCTGGGGGTGTAGTTCAGTGGTAGAGCATGCCTGGGTTTAATCCCTAGTACCACCAAAAAAGAAAAACAAAAGCCGGGGATTTAGCTCAGTGGCACTGTGCCTGCCTTGCAAGCACAAGGTCCTGAGTTTGATCCCTGGTACCAAAAAAAGAAAGAAAAACAAAATCACTCTATCTAAGTTGAATTTGTATATTTCAGTAGCTGATTGTAAAATTTAAGGTCTATAAATAGAAGTAGAGAATAATAGTACCCTCTGGAGAGAGAGAATAGAGAGAACTGAAAAAAAAAAAAATTAAACTGCCACAAAAGAAGTCAAGAAAGCTTGCCTTATGCTTGGCTTTGAGATACCATAGCAGAGGTAGGGAGACCGTCTCTGCAGCTTTGTGATTCGTAGGTACAAGATTTAAATTTCACTACTTGCCAGGTAAGCACTATTTAACAA